GAGATACTTTTGTAACCCTTTCCAGCTTCATGAAAGTCAACAATTCTTGATCGTAGGTCTTCTGAGAGCTCTTTTCTGCGAGGCATGGTTCACATCAGACAGTGCTTCTTAAAACCAGTAAACCCAAAACAGGTGTGTGTTCTTTAACAGCAGGACAGCTGTCAGCAACACATCCAATATCATCACACTGATTGGAGTCAAGGTTGGCTCACTCCTGGCTCCAATTAGCTCTGGGAGAAGTCATTAAGCTAGGGCCTCACATACTTTTTCCTCCCTGCACTGTGAATGTTTACATGTTATGTGCTATTAAACCATGGCAACATCTAATGTTTGTGTGGTATTATGTTCAGCAGACTGTGTTCTTCTATTGTTGTGACTTAGATGACGTTCAGAGCACATTTTATGCCCAATTCATGCAAAACTCCACGTAATCCCAAGGGGTTCACATACTTTTTCTTGCAACTGTAATCAGTTGCCACCCCCAGCTTGCTGACTGCTATCCCAGTCCCCTGCCATGTTGATACCATATCACATGACTTTCAGCATTGAAGATGATTTGAAAAGGGTTCCCCTAAAAAAGGGGTACCCCTCCCAAAAAACTGGTGCCTTAGAGGGGGCAAAGAGTTATATGCCACCTACTTTGTTCCTATCATTACAAGTGGGTCATTATCCCCTCCCTGGTGAACTGGTTTTATTGGTCTATTGGAGTTTTCTCTGACATCATTAACACAAGTCCACATTTGGCATTAGTCCAACCTGTACATCATCACCCATTATTAAAATAATAACTTGCATAAACTTGTAGTCGCTAATATTATAGGTCAAAGCAGGTAGGTGGAACAAAAGCCTCGCCGATATTCTCATCCCCTGAGCTCTAGCATTTTATGAGATAAAACCCTTTTTGGTGAAACCTTTTTAAATTACCCATTTCTAAAGGGTGGTTTGCTGCCCCATTGTCTTGGATGCTAGTCCACATGCTGAGTATCCTGGGCTCTTTTAATAATCCTATAAAAGCAAACACAAAAAATACTGTATTTTAATTTTGTAATACTGCATTTAAAGTATTACTAAACCCACAACAGTAAAATCAGTCTGTATATGCAGTAAAGCATGCTTGTTATACTCACTGTGGAACCTAAGGAGGTAATCCGCTGCAATGTGTAAAATGGCTGTTTGATCCTGACTTCTCTGCCCCTCCTTTTGTTCAAATATCCACACTGATAACACAGACTGACCCCGTAGCCCTTCTGCACATGCTCAGTTTAGTGTGTATTGCTAGAGAGGTTTTTGTTTTTTGTCTTGGGAGAGGGCCAATCAGCACTGTCCAGACAGAGGTCAGGGGTTTTGCATCCTCCTAGAGCAGAAAGAAAACTTCTCCTACAAGCTTTAACCAGTGCTCAACTGAAGTCACAAGACTGTTTTAACTACTGATGAGAAAAGGAACAAAGCAGATTATATTTACTAAAATAATTGCACTTCCATGTTCTGTGTACTGTGGGAGACCAGATATAGTGAATGCAGGGTGCTGGGTTTAGGAACACTTTACCCTTCTAGTTCTAAACACAGTTTCAGCACCATGGAGAGCTCCAGAAAATTTTCTCACCAGATTGTCACCTGTAAAGGTGGTATTCTCCAGCAGTCCACATTCATCTGGTACACATTGAAAATACCATAAACAGGGTGTATGTAGGCATGAAATGCCAGGTGAATGTCAGGAGGGGAAATTGATAAAAAAGATGCCTTCAGAACACAAACCAATTTATATATAGGCCCAATAGAATTTCATTGTATATCACTTCAAAGCAATGTAGATCCTGAATAATTGTAAGAAAATATGAATGCATTCATGTACATTTAGCACCCTCCTAGTTAGTGTTGGTTGTAAGGTAAATTTATTCAGCTCTCCTGTAGTCAGTGGTGAAAAGGTTTATTGATTTAGTCTACTCATTGTCACACAGACTTCTGAACTGACTACTCCCCCTGTATGTTGGGGGGCTTCTGGGGGTAGGTTGACAGGGTGGTAGTTCTGTCCTCCATGTTTCCCTGCTCATTAGATGCCAAGCAAGGATCACATGAGAGGCCTATCCTGGGGTAGTTTCTTCTGGGCTACATTAGGTACCAGACACAGGGTCACTCTGCTAAACATGGGGTATCTTTGTTTTAGTACCATTTCATCAATGCCCTGGGACAAGGCTCGGGCTGCCATGGGGGAATACTTGACCATAAGGTGGGCCTTAGACTTTAGAGATGACCGATACACCATGTACACTTGCACAACAACTGTTCTCCAGTTAGCTCTTGGGTTCCTGAGTAAATGTACATATTCCCACTGTAGCTTGCAATTAGATGGGCCATGCCAAATGCTGACCACAGTCACCGGCACAGCATTTCCCAATGCTGGTCCCGGTAACAGTATAGAACCCTGCCATGCATATAGTGCAGGCACCACCGTGCAATTTACTTTAACTGCTGAACCTCTGTACAGGATGGAGACCTCTGCAGTGCAGTTCTGTTCCTATTGCTTTGAAAGACAGAGTGAAGCATAGAGAGAGCTGACAACAAGCAGCAAGAGGTAATTCTACCTATAACAAGCACACTTGTCTTCTGTTGCTCTTTGCAGCCACATGTATAACTTGCATTAAGGTTAGTTTAAACATGTAACTCTTCATACCCCATGTGCTAGTGACCCAAACGGTAGACTAAGTGTGCAATTATGCCAGTTACTTGCATTACACTCCTTTGATTAACTTCAGCCCAGGCAAAAGTTAATGCTTTACTGAATTAAAGTCCAACAGTACCAAGTCCAACATGATACTGTCTGTTCCTAAGTCCCTCAACCCTAACCAGGCTATGTGCTGCCCCTGGTGTACCTGCACAGCTAGAGTCCATGTGAACAAAAGGTCCACTAGTGGCATTGCCCAGCAGCTGGTATCTTTGGGGGGAAACACACATTGAAAAGCTCTCATCTTTCTGGCTCCTAAATGGGTGTTTTTCACACGGAACACGGTGGAGGCAGAGGTCTCAGACTTCTCCGAGTGGGGGGGAGCCATTCGGACTCAGCCCACTGTCCCTTTTTTTATCCACAGGAGCAGTGGGTCAGACCCCAAGATCCTGCCGGAAAACAAAGAACTGGGCAGGCATTAACCCTTACCCTCTCAACCAGAGCAGCACCTAACTAGCTAGTTCTAACCTGCTTACATGTATTCAAGACAATTCTAGCATTATAGTGGGAATAAGGAAAGGGATGCAGGTTGAATTTATGCGGATCCAGCCAATCCCTGGAGAGGTGTGAGTAGTGGGTGGCTGGAGAACCCATAAATAGTCTGGAGCAAGGTGTGTGGCTCCTGGGTCCAGTCCTGCTGAAAGGAGACCCCTGTCTAGGAAGGCAGACTGCTGGATTGTGGTGCTTAAGCTGAGGGGCCTATTTGCAGAGTCTAATCTGGAGTTTCTTTTTGGGATCTAAAAGCTCACTGAAGAGTACCCAGTGGAAGCTGGAGGAAGAGTGTCCAGCTGCTTTGTGTTAGTGTCTGTGTCTCCCTCACCGAAGATTGCTCAGTGGATATCGGAAGGAGGCAGCTGATGACCCTGTGGCATTGTGAGTAAATGACCTAAGTGCTGTGCCTTAGTGACTGTATGCAGTTCTCAGTTCTTTAAAGGAAGTGATAGGCATCTTTCAATCAGTAGAGAACCATGTGGGAATTTTTCTGCAGCTAAGAGAGACAGAGACGAGTCCTCAGAAGTTCATTTCTGCAGTTGGAGTATCCCATGCTCCCTTCACCTCATCCAAAAGCCCCCTAGACAGTTCTATTTGAGTCAGTAAAAGTGGATAAAATGCTGTGCACCTGGCTGTGTGTCCGCTAATCTAGAGGAAAAGCATACATTTCACCAGCGGCTCGTTAGGGGGTGTGCTATACACATATAAAACTAAAAATTATACAAAAAAAAAAAAAAAACAATTTTTTTAAAACAAATAAATAATTTTGATCATAATTTCAATATGCTTTCTCACATTTATCTAAAAAAAAAAACACTGGAAAAAACTATAATTTCCCTTTAAGTTTAGTGACCATTTTATTTTATCTCATGCATGGCAAATTTAATCTGGTTTATGGTTCATTTGTGTAACAGGTGTTAGATGTTCATTTCAAATTGAATTTTCAACCTTACCAGCTAACACAGTGGCAAATGCAATTTACCCCTGGACAGTTTTCATGGCTGTATTCCTCTGTTATGGACATCCAGAACACATAACATTCCCATTTATATCTGGTAGAATAGATGTAATGCTGTGTCCTAGGAATTAACCCTTTAGCCATATCAACCTGCACACAGTATCAGCGACCGTGAAAGCACCAGTGACGAGCAGCAAGAACCTTTTCATCTCAGACTCGTGCTGAATGCAGCTTGAAGTCATTGTTAGAAATGTTGAATAATTTTGGCCATCCAATCAGCATCTTTCAGGGGAGGAGAGTTTTTCACTTAAAAGATAGATCTTTGAAAGGCAACTGGTGTACAGTATCACACAGCAGCACAAACTGAGACTTGAGCAGTTTTCTCCCCTATTGAATGGACTTGAGTCCCTTGGAAAGTGCTTGAAGAGGAGCTCCTGAAGCAGTATTTAAACAGAATTCAGGTTACTTATTACTATTTTTAGCTTCTTGACACCTAGTTGAGTATTTTTCTCTTATTTATGCTACATCATTCGTTGTGTCTTCATTTTATACTAACCTTATGTACATCTTTATGTTTTAGTGATATTTTATTTCTTTGTGTCTTTAGTTATTTAAAATTCTACATTTTTATTTGATAAAACCATTTATGCCTTGATCTAGTATTATTGATCTATTATTTATAGTGCTTCATTTGTAAAATTGCAATTGTGCTTTGTTATGGCTGGATCTTGTTGACAGACCAGCTGCATTCTCACTAGTATTTAGACAGTTTCTGTTTTTTTGACATACAAATTAAGTAAATCCTGATTGTGTCTTAACATTGGAGCAATGGATGAGCAGCAGAATGCCAGTTTCACATTACCAGGACATTTTCTTCCATCTGATGACCCTCTCTTGAGATACCTAAACAGCACAGAAGAGTATCTGGCATATTTTTATGGCCCAAAGCGCAGTCATTTATCGCTCCCCATAACTCTTGTATACACTCTGATTTTCTTGGTGGGGGTCAGCGGAAACATGTTGGTGTGTTTGGTAATCCTGAAGCACCACAACATGAGGACTCCGACAAACTATTACCTGTTTAGTCTTTCAGTTTCTGACCTTCTTGTTCTGCTCCTTGGAATGCCTCTTGAAGTATATGAGATGTGGAGTAACTACCCTTTTCTCTTTGGTACTTGGGGTTGTTATTTTAAGACTGTGCTGTTTGAGACTGTGTGTTTTGCCTCCATCCTTAGCGTAACAACGGTCAGTGTGGAGAGGTACGTGGCCATTATCCATCCTTTTCAAGCCAAGCTCAAAAGTACCCGAAGGAGGGCCCTTAGAATCCTCATTACACTTTGGATCTTCTCCATTCTTTTCTCTATCCCCAATACTAGCACTCATGGCATCGAAGTGAAGTACTTCCCCAATGGAAGTCTTGTACCAGATTCTGCTATGTGCACTGTTGTCCAACCCTTGTGGATCTATAACTGTATCATCCAAGTAACATCATTGCTGTTCTACGTGCTTCCAATGGGAGTCATCAGTGTCCTCTACTGCCTGATGGGTATCAAAGTAAGTTGGATGACATCTATTTACATGTTTAAGCATATACCATAATTGTATTTATTTTCATGTATAAAAAATTTATTCCATCCAAAACTATTAGTTAATTTATTGCTAGAGGCTGGAAAGGTAAACCTCTAACAGTTTCTTACATCTCTCAAGGACTCAGTTGGTAAGTGCTCTACTATTGAGTTCCTAAATCTACCCATCTGCCATGATCATGATTAGGGAGTCATTCTCTACATGCTGTAACTTGTTTATTTTACATTATAAAAATACCACAGTAGGAATGGGAACACCAAAGTTGAATGAGAACATCCAAAATACAAAGTGGGAAGGGAAAGAATCAGGGACTGTTGAAGGCAGAACAAATGACTAGAGTCTCCAAAGCATGCAACATGATAGCAGTTGATTCAGTTCAGTAAGCTCCACCTAAACCTAAAATATCAGTTTTGTGTGAATTAACGCTAACTTTTATAAGAATTCTGTTATTAATCATCTAATTCAAAGTTTAGCTTGCTGTGCTTCTGTGTCCTCATTCATGCGTTGTATCATTGCTTGTCAAGAACTTTTAGTTTCAGGGTTCCTCCACAAACTCTGTCTGCATTAAGTGTCAGTGTTATCACATCTATGCTGAGAAACTGAAGGGGAATAGTAACCAGAAGCATGAGGTGACTGACTTTTTTAATGGTGAATATCATGACCAAGAAGCAAATGTGAAGAATACTAACATTCTAAACTCACCCTACTGATTAGCATTTAAAAAGACTAAATTTTAAAGTAGGTGTAAAACCCTAAAGGAAGAACATTTAGTTGCTAAAGCACTGTGTATTGTAAACAATTGTTATTTTTTAAAAATAAAATACTTGTTCTTACCTTTTTTCATATATTACATCTAAGTACTGCTTATCTCCCAAAAACTCTTTGCATCCACTTCCTGCCTACATGCACTCAAGCAATGGCCATATGACGTTTCTCAGACCATGCCTGCGTAATGCACATTGGAATGTCCACTCGTAGTCACTATTGGAAGTCCATATAAAGCAATGAAAATTTAGGAGTAAAATTTGGAGACAGAATTTGTAAACCCTATAACAGTAAGGGCCTTAAAAAGGACCTTCAAGGCAGGATGATCAGGTGCTATTTTAATGAAAGCTGCAGATTTGAACATGTTAAGTCCTTCATGCCCAAAGGTAAAACAAATCCTAACACCTAAACACAATCTTGCAACTTTGACATGTGTTAGTAAAACTGTAGATATCATCACAGCTACGTTGTACATCCAGGTGGTTTATACCTTGTTTTTTTAGGACAAATTGGGCTTATAGTTGGTGGTAAATGGTAAAGGATATTGCCTGATTTTTTTCCATTATCAAACGAAAACTAGCTCAAAACAGTAAAAAAATATATTTTTTTTTTTAATTTAGCTGTGTGTTTCTTGTTACTACCATAACCTACCACCAAAAATCAACCCAAAAATAAATTTTCCAGCTCTTGACGATTGCAGTGATACCATATATGTGTATGTTATTTGTTGTTTGTACCCACAGTACAGCCCAGAAACAATAGTGCATATTTTGTTGTTTTTGTACCTAAAACACACTGACACTAACTGACACTGATAACAATTAAAAAAAAACATCCTGACCTTTGACCCTGACCATTGACCTTTGACCCTGACCTTGACCCAAACACCAACCCTGGCACTGCACTAGATCAAACCTTGACCTAGGTATTTTTTCTATATTGTATTTTTTTATATTTATTTATGTATTTATTTTCAACAGGTTTGTTACCACTCTATGCAAGGAGAGAGAGTGATACATTGTATCTCTCTCCTCCATTCATAAAGAAAAAAAAAACAAGGGGGCGGGCTGTACAGTGACTGATTACTGTGATAGCCAATCAGAGGCTATCACAGCGATCATGTGACCCAGAATCAGGAGTCCCGGGTCCCGATTGTTAGGACAGGTCCTGGGCTCTCCGTGACACCCAGTCTTTGTGCTGGAAGCAGGGGCGGACTGACAACTCATGGGGCCCCCGGGCAATAGGGGATCATGGGGCCCCTGTGTCCTTGCCCACACTCAAACCACACCTAAAAAAGCCTATGAAAGGTACCAGGGACATCTCATGGGGCCCCCTAATGACCCTGGGCACTCGGGCAGTGCCCGAGTTTCCCAATGGTCAGTCCGCCCCTGGCTGGGAGCATGCTGTGCGGCATGCTCCCAGCACAAAGACAGGTACACAAATATGCGGGCCCGTGGAAAAAAGCCCATTTCTGTGAGGCCACATATTTGTGTGACGTCGGCGGGAAGGGGTTGAAGAAAAACTTTTGAAATTATCATAATATGCTAAAGTTTATATGAGATTGCAGCCATTGGGTATGCACATACTCCAATGCTCTAAACAAGTACACTAGCAATTTATCCTTCAACACTGTGATCTACCTAGCTGTATATTTAAAAAAAATTCAGAGAGTAGTGGTTAATGATTCATACTCTGAATGGTCTAGGGTTGTCAGTGGTGTACCCCAAGGTTCAGTGTTGGGACTCTTACTTTTTAATATATTTATAAACAATATAGGGGTCTGGGATTAAAAATCCCATTTCAGTCTTTGCAGATGACACCAAGCTGTGCAGTGGAATAGGGTCCTTACAGGATGTCTCCAATTTACAAGCCGACCTCAATGCACTGTTTAATTGGGCAACTATGTGGCAAATGAGGTTTAATGTTGATAAATGTAAGGTTCTGCACTTGGGGGCTAAGAATATGCATGCATCATACATACTAGGGGGGGTACAGCTGGGGGAATCAATGGTGGAGAAGGATCTGGGAGTTCTGGTAGATCACAAGCTTAATAATGGCATGCAATGCCAAGCTGCGGTTTCTAAAGTGAGCAAAATCCTCTCTTGTATTAAAAGAGGTATAGACTCCAGAGAGAGAGATATCATATTACCCGGTACAAATCATTAGTAAGACCTCATCTGGAACATGCAGTTAAGTTTTGGGGAACCAATTCACAAAAAAGAACATTGGGGAACTGGAGAAAGTGCAGAGAAGGGAAACCAAACTGATAAGAAGCATGAAGGAGCTCAGCAATGAGGAAAGATTAGAGGAACTGAATTTATTCTCTCTTGAGAAGAGGAGATTAAGTGGGATATGATCAACATGTATAAATACATCCGTGGTTCATATAGTGAACTCGGTGTAGAGTTATTCACCCTGAGGTCATCACAGCCGATGAGGGGGCACCCTTTACATCTGGAGGAAAAGAGATTTAATCTCTGAATACTGAAAACTTTCTTCACAGCAAGAGCTGTAAAAATGTGGAATAGATTCCCTCAAAAGTTGGTTCTGGCCAGCTCAGTGGATTGCTTTAAAAAATGGCCTGGATTCTTTTGTAGATATACATAATATAACTGGATACTAACATTTATAGGTAAAGTTGATCCAGGGAATATCCAATTGCCTGTTGGGGAACCAGAAAGGATTTTTTTTCCCTGAAAAGGCAAATTGGATCATGCTTTGCTGTTTTTTTTGCCTTCCTCTGGATCAACTGTGAGCAAAGGATTATAATTTTTTATTTTTTTTTTTTAGGTTGAACTAGACAGACTTTTGTGTTTTTTTCAACCAGACTAACTATGTAACTATGTAAAATGTGTCAGTCACACAAATCCTGTATCCCTATATTGTAGAAAAAAAAAATACAAGAACTAAAAGGAGGTTTTAGTTTCCCGCTAGTTATAGCCTGATGTACAGTAGATAATGCATGTTCAAAATTATAATTCGTGCTGGGAGAAGGGAGGAGGAGAAAGTACTTGGTACAGTAATCTTTGCGTTATATAATATTGGCCCCTACACTCCTTGCATCACACAATCTTGACATCTGTACTCGGTGTGTTACACACCCCTGACCCCTGCTCTCTGTGTTATGTACTCATTAATTCCAGACATTCTGAAGCCAACCCAACTGTAGGAAGTACAAGATGGAGCCCACAAGCTAACTAAATTGGAGCCTTTTCCTTGCAGTGATCTGTAGTTTAAGAAATGCAGATTTCTCTTGTCTGAGAAATGCACTGAGCAGCACAGTATTACTTGAATTGTATTCCAGTATTTGCTTGTCTTCAGCTGACAGAACCTTACATAAAGTCTCAGAAATCTTTCATTAAGGTCTTCATGTTATATAGTTTGAATACCATGTCTTAGATATATTATTTATCATTTTAAAAGAACATATTCCACACTTTGTTTTTCCAATTTTTCCAGAAAAAAACAAAAATGGCTTTTGAAAAAAAATGGAAAAAAATGTTTTTTTTTCCAATTTTTCCATTTTTTTTCCAGGCCTTCTTATCTCTACCCTTGATATATATGTGTTTTTTTTCCACTGTTGGAGCTTTTGTGTTTGCCAGTATACCTTTCTACTAGTCACACCCACTTTCGCATTCTACCCCGTTTCAAAATGCCTCTTTATTGTCCAATTCAAAAGTTGGGAGGTATGAATTAATAGAATAAGGAAACTTCTACACAGCATTTTCTCGACATTTTGTCATGCTTTTCACATCCTTCTCACTGCGCTGATCTAACACACATTCCTCCTATCTCAGCTATAGAAATACTCAGTTTTGGCACCAAATTCATAAGCATTCAGCTTGCCACCTGTAGCCAATGTGTCTTCTATGTCTTGCTGCCTGTGTGTGTGCAGTGGAACCCAGTGTTTATGTATAGGAAACAGGACCCAGAATTTAGTGACAGTGCAGCAGCAATTTCCACACTTACTAGCAACCTGCTCCCAACACGGGAAGTCTCCCCTAGTTAATATCCTATTTGTGTCTCTCTCTTGCATCCCAGTAGATCATGTAACATGTAGGAGCCACAAATAAGTTATCAATGTGGAAAATATAAAGTGAATTGGTGCAGCGCTACCTCAACACTACACTACTCCCTCACTGTCTTATCCCAAAAATAGATGAAATAAACCAATAAATGATGTACAATAAATACGTCAAATAGAATAGAATGCACATAAAAACAGTTTGAATCATCCAAAATGACTC